GGCTGCCTTCATCTTACCCTGCAGGTGGTCTGTGTGATAATAGAAGCATCTAATTCTATAGGGCACCAACATTTACACTGAGCCCTTATTTGTTTTTTTTGGATTTTGTTCAGAGGTTTCACAAATACTGATTAGTCACAGACTAATAGCTCTTGTCTGGGTTCCTTATCCTCCCAGAAACAGTGTTTCACAGGGAAGACAAGGCAATACTCCCAACTTCGTTAAAAGTGGATTAGCAAGGTGAGGAAGAAAAGTATTCAGTTCTTTTCATACCCAGAAATATTCATAGAGTGGGATTTAAGTACATGCTGTGTCCACTTTGTTCTCCCTTTTTGTCATATCTTTGTTCAACTGTAATCAGATTCTTTATAAATCCCTGAATTATAATCCCTGAAAACTAGTCACCTGAGGTCACTTAGAAGCTTACCTGGTTGTTTGCAGGCTTGTATTTCAGTCCTGGCTTGTTCAAGATTCTTTCAATTTGCTCACGGTTAAAGTTAGAGATGCCAATGTTTTTTACCAGACCAGTATCCACCAGCTCTTCCATGGCCTGACAGAAAGAGATGTAAAGTCATTATTCAGATTTCAAGACAAGGCCTGAATACATTCTTTGTGATGTCCCTTCTTGCTTCTCATGAGGGAGAAAAAAGAACTGCTTGAGCTTGCCGAACTTGATTCTCTTGAGGAAATATAGGTATTGGTAATATTTGCACCATGTCCTCCACTGCAACCAGCCCCAAATCTCATTTGGGAAGACTGAGAAATTCACTCTGAGTTCCACAAGGAAAAACACATCACTAGTCTACAATCCACTACTGTGGCAGCACTGGAGGCCTACACCCTAGGACGATGGCAGGATCACAATCTATAGTCTTCATTTCTTCAACATGTATTTGAGCAGTTCAAGAACTGCATGAGAACAATCGTACAACTGTTATGGCCAAGCAAAGAACTTTTTCTGACCTCAGTCTGCTCTGTAGCTCCCATGAAAGTAATTTGAATGTACTTTTGTAAACTCTTTCCAACTAATTCTGCATCCATGCACTAACTATTCTGTGACTACTGAATTAACACTGCTGAGGACAGCAGATGTGATTCTGCCACTGTGGCTGTGCTTACCTCCCACGTATGTAGAATATCAGCATTGCTGGGTATAGATATGCCTTTGTCATCTGTAGGAAGCAGCTCCTCTCCTGCCTGTTAGAGAGGAAGAAAATGCTTGAAAATCTGTTTACAAGTTTGCCTAATACCTTAAGAGCTCAGGATCATGATAGCTTAAAACTTCCAGTGCAGGTAAGATTCTTGTCTATAATCATTTCGTCCTGCTTGAGAAAGTGAGGAATGTAAGGTATGTTCGCCCAGCAACTACCCTAATCAAGGCAGGTATTTCTGCTGGGCCTCTCAAAATGATGCCTCACTCAAATATCTGCAGGTAGAGAAACCACTCAAAACTATAGATTTGTCAGGCAGCAAAATGTAGCCTCCTTTCCACAAAATATGATTTTCAGAGCATACTTGGGAATTGTAAAAAAGAAAAGAAGGGAGAACAGCACAGCTTATGCATGCAGCTGGGAGACATGTCCTAGTTCCCAGGTCTGTCACTCATAGGAGTATGACAAGACTTTGACAGGGGTATGCAAGCAGCAGTCTCAGGGACAGAGATCAGGAGCCCAGCTCACATGGCCAGAGTAGCGCTGAGCACCAGAGCAGTACTGCTACATGGAACAGACACTCCCAGTGAGAGCAATTATTGGGCTGTAAAGCCATATAGGTCTTCAAAATTACCAGTCGTAAAAAAAAGCACCTTACTATTACTGTACCTTCAACCCAAAAGGCCAGTGCATGAGGTAGAGATCCAGGTAATCCAGTTTCAGGTCGGCAAGAGTCTTCTGGCAGGCTCCCTTCACCAGAGGTTTTTCAAAAAACGTGCACCACAGCTGGAGACAAAAAGCCAAGGCACACCGTGAGCTGCTGGGTTAAAGCCCTCAGATGCCCTCCTGCACAAGAGAAAAGCACTCCTCCGTTGAGAGGCAATGTGGGGTTAAAGCAACCTATTGCTCTTCAGACAGGGCTTGCTCTATGAGCAGGACTGGACCATAACAGCGAGGGCAGCACATACAGTGGCACCACATGTAACTGAATAGGGTCACAGGTAAGGAAACCTCTGTTTCTATTAGAGAAAACACCATTCATGCCATCCCCATTTAGGAAAGCTCTGCCTTTACAGCAGGAGGCTTTTAAATGAAGGCAGATATCTGTCAGACCTGCCTGCACGAAACTCCTGCATCAATGTATCAGGGAATGAATGCCATGAAAATGCAGAAAAGCCACGAAGATGGAACCAATTCTACCCAGGTTAAGAAAGTGACATCAAATCCATTTAAGTTTTGCATTTTCCTCGATAACCAAGGGAAATAAAACCCACCAATCACATCTTCCTCGGGACGTGTGCAGTGTGGATTACACTGTACCAAACCTCGGCAAGGTGCCATTGCCACGTTGGTTCTGCCAATGCAATGGCTGCAACAAAAACCCGCTGCCAGTGGGCAGCAGAGACTCAAGCACCATCGTCGTGGTGGTGGTGATGGGGTGGAAGAAGTGGTACTGGGAGCCCAACCACAATGCAGCAAGGGGTCTCCAAGCCTTCAGTCTCCTACCCTAAGGATGTCACAGGGGAAGGGGGCCTGCCCCAAGGCCCCCAGGCCCCTACCTTGCTGACCACGAAGAGCTCCTCTCGCTTCACAGCCCCTTCCTTGATCTTCTTCTGGATGCCGTCCCCAACCTCGCTCTCGTTCTGGTACACGAAGGCGCAGTCCAGGTGGCGGTACCCAGCATCGATAGCAGCCATCACCGCAGCTGCCACCTTCCCTGGCGGGGACTGAAGGGGAAGGACAGCACCTGAGGAGCGCCCACCCAAACACACACGGGCCTTGCTCCCAGCAAGCCAGAAACCCAGGCAGCCATCCCACCGAAAACACCCCCAATTTCCCTTACCCCCCCAACACACCCCACCCGCCCACCCCCCTAAACCACAAGACCCCAACGAGGAACACGCAGAGGGCTGCCTTTCCTCGCAGCACTCCGCAGGCCGGCAGCGGCCCGGTGTCCCCACAGCCTCCCCCTTTCCCTTCGGCTCCCCTCCCACCTTCATGTCTCCACAAACCCCACAGATGCAGCCCGGCAGCGCCCCGCCTCATGCAGGCCGCCATGGCCCAGCTCTGACAGGCCCTTGAACGGAGGCGCCACCCCGGCGGCGGCCCGCCCCGAGAGCCACGCCGTCAAGAGCCGCCCCCGCGCCGCCCAAGCCGTTTTTTTATTATTTCTTTATTCATTTTCACTGTTTGTGTTATGAGGGGAACTGGGCTCTCGGAGAGCGGAGGACGGGCGGCGCTCGGAGCGGCGCTGAGCTGAGCTGCGTTCCGTGCGCGTCTCGGCTCGTAGCGCGCTTCGCTAACGCTCTATTCTCCTGCTGGCGCGGTCCTCGCTCTGCGGAGCTCTTCTCTGTTTCTTTCTTACTTCCTTCTCTTCTCTTCTCTCTTTCTCTTCTCTTCTCTTTCTTCTATCTCTCTTCTCTTCTCTTCTCTCTCTCTTCCTCCTATTCCATTATTTTTAAACACAAACATCCTCGAGTCCGGCTGCCAGCCCACTCAGGTGGTTCAGCCCTAACCCCAAATCAAATCGCTCTGGGAGGTGCAGCAGGGCCTGCCTGCCCCTTTCCCTTATTCAAGATGTTTCTGCTAACCTGCAATGGTAACGCGAGTTGTGGAGAGCACAGCTGGGAGCTGGGATTTGACCTATATTTATGAGGACATTTTTGGGCTGCCTCCTTAAGAGCCTGTCGATGTCCTCCTGCAAAGGCTGGCACTTGCTTTCCCCAGTGATTTCCTGAATGAGAGACATCTCTGGTTTTCAACAGAGCCTTGCTGTCTGTGGCAGACCCAGGGTAATTTGCCAGCCCTAGGCAAGCAGCTCTGCTCCCCATCCCGTGGCTCTGACACCCAGGCCTGGTTCAGCCAGGTGCCCGAACCCCTCAGGTGTGTCCTTGCCTTCAGTACATTCTTGTCTGTGCCCAAAGGTTGAGAGATGAGACCCTATGTGTGGGAGCAAGGAGGAGCTTTGGTTTGGGTAGACTGGGCAGTAAATGCCTACGCTGGCCCAGGAGCATCTGGATGGGTTTGTGTGGCTGTGCTCAGCAGCGAGTGATCCACAGGCAGCTGGAGCAAGAGTTTGAGCAGGAGCTTTCCAAGAGAAGGAGGGTGCTTGTGAAGAGTGGTAGAAATCCCCTAAGTCTTTGGCTCCCATACCATAGTAAATATTGTACTCTGGGTTCAAAAACATGGCATATTTTTTTCACAGGCTGGATGTCTTTCCTTTGCCTGGAGATAGCTGGGGTTTTCATGGGCTGCTTCCTTCAGAAAGCTGAGAAACAAGGGGTCTTGGATTATACGTTTCTGAATTGAAAGTGGAAATGTGGGAGAGGTCTTCAGGTGCCTCTTTTCTCTAACAGAAGGTGTTATGATCTTCCCACTAAACCCTGCATAGAACTTTATGGCTGTTTTGGGGCACCTGTCCAGCGGGAAGCAGTGGAAAGGAAGAACAACTGAAAGCAAACACTGCCCCTTCAGCACCCCTCTGAAGTCAGAAATTAAAGGGGGTAAAATGCAAGCAAGAAACCTCGACTGCTTTGACAGCTTCTAAGTGCAAGGTGAGGAGGCTGTGGGATTGAACCCTTGAGACCTACCCACAAGCAGCCCATCTCCCCTTGCCAGGAAGACTCTGGAGCAGGAGAGTGTGGTGAAACGAGGTGCCAGGCTCCACTGTCCCTGGCTTGCTGGGACCTGTGGCTCCTCATCCATCCTCTAGGGCTGGAGAGGCCAAAGAGGGCAGTGGGAGAAGGTCTGGCAAGGCTCCTGTGAGGGCTAGCTGCCTTCTAGCTGCGGTTAGACCTGTCTATGCATCCCTGGGTTGGCGGGTGAGAATAGAGCATAAACATTCATACATGGTTTATTTAATACATGGTTTATTTGGTGTCAAAAATATTTTTTTTTCCTTAACAAGTCTTTCAGCCAATAATGTTTTCACATTTTATTTTTATTTAAAACATGGGACACTTCTGATGAAATGCTGGATGCGTGCTTTTTCTTGTGGTTTCTCAGCCTCTGGTCTGTGCTGGTGCAAGGCTGAAGGCACTCAGTGAATGGTGGTTCAAGCTCCTCATCTCCTCCTTAGCAGTTCTGCCCAGTCATTTCAGTAATAATCATCTCTTCTGATAAGCAGAAATTATTACATCCCACATTTTTTTTCTGTAGAACACTACTCTTTCCTTCTTCCAAAAATAAAATCGATGGAATAAGTATCCTTTGCCTTCAGTGGTGGAAGCAGGGCAGATGCAGTAAGAAAGCTGGATACATAGCTCAGAGTTGGAGGGGACACCAGAGGTCTAGTGAAGGCCATGTTACAAACATCTTCAGTATTCTGCATTGAAAGGGTACTCCTTGTGAGTTTTGGCCCTGAAAGAAATCAAAAAGGGAAGTTTCTTTTCACGGATGAAGTAAATGCTGGAAAGAGGTGTGTTTGGTGCATGAACCAAGGGAAAATCTGAATTGAGTAATTGCAGGAAGAATATGTGGAGGTATGTGTCCTCATTTCTCTAATACAGGAAAAGGCAAAATGCTCAGCCAGAACCATATTTTGTAGTTCAAGTTACAGAAAGTCTCCTGAAAACTGAATTCAAAATGAGTGTTTTGAAAATATTAAACCTCTTGAAAAGTTACTTTTTGGGACAAATCAGCTATGATTTGAATTAACGATATATATATATATATTTAATTAACTGAATTTAATGCTTCCCGGTAGCTGTGACATAAACATTCTTGTAAAGGTTATTCAAAATGTAAGACTTGGAAGTAAACAATCAGTGTCACTTACAGTGTCATCCCACAGACCCTCCAGTTCCTGTTAAAACTGAGAACAGTTGCCATCTCTTCTTTAGTCAATTCAAAGTCAAATACCTAACAAGAGAAAAAGCTGAAAATCACCTCTTTGAACAAATCTAACAGTGTGAAGGAGACAGACAAGATTAGACAGCAGATCCACTATGGAGGTTTTCAGTCATGGATGAATGATTTAAAAGATAGAGGAACAACTTTTTTATATACACAAGAATGATTTTATGAAGATCGTTTTTTCTATATGAGACTTTTCTGCCATTTCACTGCTCTTGGCCTCCAAGCAAGTTCTGGTTAATCCTTAAGCCACAAAGCCACAGAATAGGAATCTTCACATAAGCCTTGTTCACCTCTTCAACTGTAGCAATAGATTAGCCCTCAGCAGAGTATACATGTAGGTAAACATGCAGAGAGAAAAAAAACCACAGTGCTCGTGTTTGAGGAGGTCAGCTTGGGAAGATCCCTGCTTGCTCTGCAGGGGGAAGGGATGCCATCCCTGCAGGGCAGCACCCAGGCCACTTGTAATCACCCACCTTGAAGTTCTCCACAATGCGCTTGGGGGTGACGGACTTCGGAATCACAGCCACATTTCTCTGAACCTGGAATCGAAGGAGAACCTGCAAGAAGAGACCACCGAGTCAGGGAGAAGGCAGCTCCTGTTGCCACAGAAGCTGAGCCTGTTCAACAGCTGCTTGCCTGAGCTATGGCTACTTCTGCAGAGCTGCTTTTCAAATCACTCCTGTCTCTGTGGCCTAGGTAGCACTACCTGATGAGCAAAGAGTTCAGCACCCACCTACCTGTGCTGGCGTTTTGTTGTGCTTGGCTGCAATCTCTTTTATCTTGGGGTCATCCAGAAGGGAAGGATCCTCTGGTTTAGCCCTACACAGAGGAAAGATAGACCAGTGGCAAGAAACCTCCATAGAAAGAGCCAACCCAGCAACAGGAATCTGTATCTTGATGAATGATTAATGGAGCACTTGGAGTCTCAGTGCTTCAAGCATAATCCCTGCCAGCTCCCTTGCAAAATGGGAGTGAGTCTTACCATGGCCTGTCAGGAGAGCCAAGGGGACTGTATGCAGTCACAGCGATCCCTTTGGATTGGCAATAATTGATCAGCTTCTCCTGGGTCAGGTATGGATGGCATTCGATCTGAAACACAAGAGTACTGAGATTGACAGCGGCAGAACCATTGTACACCAAGGATTATTTTTTAATGCAGCTAGAGGCTGCCTTTTTCCCTGGCTTATCTCCATTGTCAATGGCGTGGGTGATAATATGCATTCTTAGTATTGAAGGTACCTATTTTTATATGAAGTTTCTTTGCAGTTTGGCTGCAGGGGTTTCACAAAACATAGCTCTAGGTTCTTTATTCTTCCAGAAATAATGTTTCACAAGAAAATACTCAGCATTTATAAACAGTGGTTCAGCAAGGTGAGAGACAAGAAGCGAAGTAATCAAGTCCTTTTTGTACCCGGAAATATCTATAGAGCAGGATTTAGAGTACATGCTGTCTCCACTTTTTTCTCCCTTTTTCCATATCCTCATCAACTGACCAGATCTTCATAGTCAATGAAAAATGTTCACTCGAGGTCAGTTAGCAGCTTACCTGGAGGTTTGCAGGCTTGTATTTCAGTCCTGGTTTATTCAAGATTCGTTCAATCTGCTCATGGTTAAAGTTGGAGACCCCAATGGCTTTTACTAGACCAGCATCCACCAGCTCTTCCATGGCCTAACAGAAAGAGGAGCAAAGTCATCATCTGGTATACAAGACATTCCTGAAGATGACTTGATGGGGATTTTTTCCCTTTATGGAGAAGAACAAAATAACTATTTAGACTTGTTATGTTCACTGAGGGAAGAGTAGGTGCCATCTTATCCAAACTCAAGGTGTCATTCCAATTCACACCAAGCTGCATGAGAAGAACAGTAATATTCAATAATCTGCTGTCATGCAAGAACTGGAGAGTTGTGCCCCAGGCTGTAGGCAAGATCACAACCTAATATGTCTTTATTCTTGCAAAATGCTTTTGAGCGGTTCAAGAATTGCACAAGGACTGTGGTGAAGGCAATTTTACAGTTGTTATGGTCAAGCAAAGAAGATTTTCTAACTTCAGACTGGTCTACAGCCCTCCTCAAAGTGATTGTTTAGCTCACTGTGGATTAGGCACTTCAGTAAGGTGCTCAGAGAACAGTAGTACTGACTAAGCATGCAAGTTTTGAAAAGCTACCTTGTATTACTTGATTTTCTTCCAACAAAATTTACACACATGAGATGACAGCTCTGTGACTGCTGAATGAAATGAAAATGTGGAAGAGACTCTCAAGGACGGAGAAAGCTTGACTCCTGCTGTGGCTGAACTTACCTCCCATGTCTCTAGAACATCAGATTTGCTGGGTATACACATGCCATTGTCATCTTTGGGAAACAGCTCCTTTCCTGCCTGTCAGTGAGGAACAAAAATGCTTGTTACAATCTCTGTTGGGAAGCTAGCTTTATAAGGAAATCAAATAGGAATACAAGGAGTTAAACTAATAGTGCATGAAAAACAAACAAACAAAAAACCTCCACACATTAATTCTCATCATAAGTTAATTGCGTTTTATATTTAAGTCATATATTTTTGATATATGACTTAATATATTAAATATATTAATTATAATTATATTTTAATATATGACAATATATTTAAGTCATATATTTTTAGTTTATGCAGGGTCATGGCATTTTTGCCATCATCTGATCCAATAAAGGCAGGTATTTCTGCTGGTTCCATTAAAGTGATGATAAATAAAATGTATGCAGGGAAGCAATTTACTCAGAACAGTACTCTGGAGCCTTACATGTGTTCAGTTCATATATTGCTCCATTATTTATTGGAAATGTTTAGGAATAATAGCTTGTTTTTTTCATTTTTAGAAAGGTGTATGGAGGACTGGTTTTGATCCTGCGAACCTTAAAGTTCTAAGTAGATTTGCTAAAAAGGGACTGTGCGTGCAAACAGACTTTCCATTGGGAGACTCACTGATTAAGCTGCTCTGTTAGGAAAATTAGAAAAGCCTGTTAAGTATATACTATGGACAGACTGCTTTGAATGATTGGAATTTTCTACTGACGCAACAATATTATGTGGGAGTGCAGTTTCACTTGGCTGCTTTGTCTCCATAAAGAAAACTTAAACAATATTGAGCATATGAATTTGAGCTGAAGAGCTCAAAAGCATTAGACTGAATAGAGGTTTTCATTTGGCTGTAGCAGAAAGGAGAGGGTAATGCTAGGTATATACACAAAGTGACATATCCTTTGAAGCACATGCAGTATTAAGGACTCGGTAATTAAGGACAGATATGGAAAGCAGAAATACTCTTGCTCTGTGGTTCTATAACCTGCAGAAGAAAGAATTTCTGTCAGGCAGCAAAGTGAAGCCTCCTTCCTGCAAAGGGTAATTTTGAGATTAAAATACTTTGGATTTGTAAAAGGGAAAGCAGTGTAACTTATGCTTGCAGCTTGAATGTCTGACCTGAGTGCCAGGTCCACCTCTCCCAGTATCAAGAGGGCAGAGGATGCTGAGCAAGCAGCAGTCAGGGTTCAAGAGCCTGCCTCAAGTGGCCAGAGTAGAGCAGAATGAAAGGCACCAGAGCAGTGCTGGGGCACACCACAGACACGTGATCCTTCTGGACAGGAACAGCAGTAGTGCTGTAAGCATGACTGGCAGTTTTCAAGCGCTCCCCCATGTGGGAAATTCAATGTAAGAAAGAAAGTCAGTGGAGTTGCTGTTGCAGTACCTTTAAGCCGAGAGGCCAGTGCATGAGGTAGAGATCCAGGTAATCCAGTTTCAGGTCGGCAAGAGTCTTCTGGCAGGCTCCCTTCACCAGAGGTTTTTCAAAAAATGTGCACCACAGCTGGAGACAAAAAGCCAAGGCACACCATAAGCTGCTGGGTTCAAGCTGTCATGTGCTGTCCTACACGGGACAGGAACACTCTGTTGTCCTTGGAAGGCCATGAGGAATTAGGATATCCTATTGCTCTTCAAAGGGGGCTTGCTCTGTCAACAGGGCTGGCCTCTGACACTGCAGGCTGTAAGTCACTACGGCAGGACACACGATCAGATAGGTCTGTAGTAAAACCTCTTATTGTGAGATATCACATTTGTGTAGAAGAAGATGGATTTGCTCAAAAGGAGTTTTCTGTCAGATTTGACCATTTGTACATTTCTTGTAAAAATATCAAATGGCAAGGTCATGAAAATATAAGACAAGTCACGAAACAGTGATTGAAATGGGTCTTAACCAAAGTAAGAAGTAACTTCACAATCCAGAGAGGTGCTTCATCCTACACTGTAAAGTTTGTTCCAGCACTTAAGCTTCCTAGTCTGAAAATAGCATAGACAAAGCATTCCGTCATTCCTGCTTTGATCCATACCTTACTGACGACAAATAAGTCTTCTCGTTTCACAGCACCTTCCTTTATTTTCTGCTGAATCGCTTCCCCGATTTCGCTCTCATTTTCATAAACATAGGCACAGTCGAAGTGGCGGTACCCAGCATCAATAGCAGCCATCACTGCAGCTTTTACCTCACCTGGTACGGACTGAAAATAATAAAGAAATCTTAAGAATCTCAAAGCAACACATGTTAAATAATCATTTCCTACAAAAATAAAAACAGCAGAATCACCTTACCCTACCCTGGCCAAAGCAACTCCTCCATATTTCTTTCCTTTTTATTTTTTTGTCAGGAATGTTATTCCTTCCAGAGATGGAATACTGCACAGTATTCCTTGCAGAAACATCAGCTCCTGGGCATGAAGCCAACCCCCAGCCATTTCTCCACAGCCCCAGAGGCTCAGCCCCGCAGCCAGGCAGAGCAGGTGCCCCAGCGCCAGGACACTGCTCCACAGCTGGGCCAGGAGGAACCCAGTTTTGTGCAGGGAGCTCTGCAACGCGGCTGCTTTTCTCTTAAGCCGTTACCTTCCAGGTGCCCAGCCCCAGGAGAGGCATCTTGGCCGCGGTGTTGAGCTGCACATGGGTCGCCATGGCTGCGTGTGCTGCCCGGAGGTGCTGCTGCAGCTGCCTCCTGCCTCCTGCCCAGGGCCTTTAATAGCAACGGGTCCTGGCCCAGGGCGGGGGAAGACGCTGGAACCGCACCTGCGCTCCAGGTTCTCCCGTATCCAGCAACAAGGCTGTGTTTTCTTCACTGTAAATTCAACTCACCCTGGTTAATGTGCAAGCTGGTATCAAATAAAAATCATGGCGGTTATCAATTCTGCAGGACATGCTGCAGCATGCTCTGCAGACCTTTCCTCCCAGTACAGTTCCTTATCAAAAGACAAGGGCTTAGGGCAGCTGTGCCCTGCTGGGATTTGTGTTTGTGCAGGGCTTGCCCCTGCCGCGCCTTGTCCCCATGGCACTGTTGCCAGTGTCTATTTTGCTTTTGATACGCGAGGCTCTTGCAACACTCTTTTGAAGCTCACCCTGTTGGTTGCCTCACCGAGAGTGTGTTTGAGTCCGTGGCACTGTGCCCCATGACTCGGCATTATGCTAAACCAGGGGGTGCCCCCAGATCAGTCAGCAAACACGAGTCCTGAGGCAGGGCATGAGGCCGCCTCAGCTGGGCACCACAGGCCGAGGCAGGGCTGGGCCCGCCATCCAGAGCCCGCAGTGGTGTTGGTGCCCGGGGCTGGGACCCCATCAGAGCCTGGTGACGCTGTGTGTGCTGGGGAGAAACCTCAGCGTGGTTTTACAGGGGAAGAAGCAGTTCCTTTCCACCCAGACACCCGGAGGGGGTGTTATCTATGCTTTACAGACTGGGACGTGAGGCATGGGGGAAATGTGACGTGCTGAAGGGCATGTGTGGCGAAGTTGGGGAAGAAAAGTAGGTCCTTTTTTTCTAGGATCTTAACAGGCCCGTCCTTCTGGTAAATTCCAGACTGGCCTGTCTTTTCTTTTGACTTTTAATTCTTGCCGTTTTATTTGTACAGGCTACGGGCACATCAGTAAGGCTTGTCTTTAATGGCCTGTGCATTCATAGAGGAGAGTTTCACAATGCAGAGATGAGTGTAGAAGAGAAAAGGTGACCTATAGCTACAGGACTGTTGTAGAAGTCACATATAATCAGCGTCACAGGCTAATGCATCCTCCTGCACAAAAATAGCACAGGAGCCAGATAATGAATGGGAGAGTGTATTTTAATGTTTGCACACATGGGGGCAGAGTTAAACTTGTGTGTGACAATCGCTGCTTTTGAATTTCTTCAGTAATACCTTAGCAGATGGAATTGCATATTGTGTTCTGAAGATTTTGTAATAACGAGAAGGTGGAAATCTCTCTTCCTACGTCCTTTTGCTAAAGATAATAAAAAGAAAAAAGAATTGAAGGTGGCTTACATTCGAAAGGAATGTAAGGCATCAAAATTTTCTGGTAGGGTCTCATAAGACACAGTCTGAGTTTTGAAGAGGAAACTAGCAATTGTCACTAACATATCGACTTTCTGGATTGTTTGATCCTTAAATTATAAAACACTGAAAAAAAAAATAATTTACTCTGCTGTATTTTGCACTGAAATGAGTGAGACTGCTTCTCCTGCTTGAACTCGCTGCTCTGTCTGGAAGACATTCCCAAACAGCGCTTCTAGGAATTGTTATGTGTGTGTGGGGAAATCAAGTCTCTTTTCCACCTACTCTTAACCAGGCACTTAGCTTACAGTATCCCAGGGGAATGTTGTATATCCGAGGGGAAGCAGACTGTCCAACATCTGGAATAGTTAGGTTTTTTTATGACTGATAGCACTCGGATGTGTTCAGCAGCTCCAGCTTGTTTTGACTGCAGTGATCAATGGGGATTGTGGATTGTCCACAGCTGGTAGAAAGGAATGCACACGTTACAGACTTGGGGTGCCAGGTACACTTTTTTGGCCAGAGCCTACTTCTGCTGGGAGATTTGCCATTGATTCAATGGGAAGGGAGCACAACTTTTGTTAAAAGGTCTGCCAACAGTGCCAGCTGTGCCTTTCTTCAGCCAGTCAAATGCCAAACTCTGTCTCACCTGCTTTATATATCAGCGCTGATGTCCTCAGAATGAATAGATGTCAGGATTTCAGCACTATGCATGCTCTCCAGAGCTTTGGCACCAGACGTCCCTGTTCCCTCTGCAGCTCACAATGCAGTCGTGGTGATGGCTCCATCAGTGAGACAGACAAAATTGCACAGGATTTCCAGCACAGCGCTGGCCTGTGCATGCTGGCATCTGGGAGAAAGAACCAAGGACATCAAGCAAAGTAAGAACTGACCTTTTCCCAAGCACTTTTCCCACTCTGTAATGTAAATGGGAAGGCTCAAGCTGATTGATCAGGGGCTGGGATATTGTGCCAGGCTGAGAAAGCGGAGCTGCTTACAGTGGCTTATGGCCTTTTTTGTATTTTTCCTTGGTGTTGTTGTGTGACCCTGTGGAAAGAGATGAACTTCCAAGAAGCAGCAGCCACATTCTGACACTGCCACAGCACACGGAGCTTCAAGTGATATGTTTTGGCTTCCAAGGAAGCCCCAACAAGTCTGGCTCTGTGGCTGTACTAAAGAATACTGCTGTAAACAGAGGGAGCAGGGGAGACTCTGGAACATGAGCTTGTAACTATCCTGAAGAGAAGCCTTTTAACTTAGCAGAACTGGAGGAAGGTAAAATTTTTAGAGCTGCATCAAATGGGGTAGCTCGGTGCTAAAGAACGAGGTGTAACTTGCCAACAAGTGGGTACCCGAGGGCACGTGAGGCAGGAAGAGAGAGTTAATAAAACTGTCAGGCAGCAGGGAGCAGACCCCTGGAGGCACCGGGGGAGGTGTTGACAGCAGAGAAAGGCAAAACAAGGCATGTTCACAGTATTCCCAAAGTATAATATGGTTACTTTTTCTTCTGAGTCTTGTCTACATGAAAATCTTGTGCTGTTTCATTATGCTGATGCAAATGCCTTTTTTGGACACATATCAGTTGAAGTACGTTGTATATTGCCTTAACTTAAATCTGTTCCTACCACTTCAGTTGAAACAGGAGAAAGCACTCTTCAGTAAAATAACATCTATCCTCCCACAGAGTTAACGTTAATTTAATAGCATCAGTTTTTGAGCTGGTTTAATTAAACTGCAACTTCCTTGCACAGGCCAGGACTGGTTGCTGCGGAAGGCAAGCATGCCAGTGTCTTGCATGTCTTTTCTCAAACTCATAAAGAGAAGGCTCCTGATAATAGACTGGAGAGGTGGCTTAATGTGAGACCGGCAGATTCTTTGCCTGATTTTCTCCAAGTCAATCCCTGTGAAAAGAGCAGGTGCCAAAGCACCAGCAAAGACCAAACCTTTCTCAGTTCTTTCTGCTGAAGAGTGGGCTTTGTAGTGAGGGTATAAGCAACTGAAGGACAATAGGGAGGACACCATGGCCAGCCTCCAAACCCAGTTCATCTACAAATTGAAAATTTGCTTGTCCAAGACATGCATTCCTGTCCAGTAAATGTCTGTCGGTAGGCATGGTTATCAAAGGAATGAGATTTTCCTCTCTCATGTACACAGACTGTAAGTTTTCCAAAACTCGTCACTTTTGAGAACAGTCTGCTATTTTTCTTGCCAAGTGGAGGCTATTGTCCTCGTGGAAAAATATTTTCATGCTCCATTTCAAGTTTTAGCAATCAGCTGTGTCTAGTTTTGACAAGGAAAGGGATGCTTAGAATGCCTTAACAGCGGAGGAAGGTATGTTTTCCATTTGTGAAACACAAACGTGTTGAAAATATTTTCCTCATGTTTGAAAACCAAAACAAAATGAAGCCCACAGTAGAAACAATGAGTTCATCTTGATTAGGAACAACATGAAAAATACCGCTGTGTAATTGTGCAGTTAGAGCTGAATGGAAGCTGCTCTATAACCTGGGCTCACACACAAGAGGGGAACCCGGCTGTTTTAGCTAAGTCACTCAGGTTTTGTGAATGTGTGGGCAGAGCCTCATGTGGTCTTTGTCCTGTCACACGGCAGGACCCATGGACAACGTGAACATCCAGTGGGCATGTGGAAGGTCCAGTGATTCCCAGAAAAGTTTGACTCATTGTCCTTCACTAATTTCACCCTGTGCTCCAGGCTTGCTGCAGGGTTGGTCAGATGGGCTTCTGCTCTTTCAGCACTGGTCTTTTCCAGGGTGTGCAGGGAGGAGGCCATGAGCTGCAAATTGTTCTGGCAGGATGCCTCCCGCTGTTGTTTTGCCTGGGGACTCTCACTCGTGTAGCCAGAACATGCGAGGACCCTGAGGGGCTGAGGAGAGGTGATGGCCATGCGTGGTGTGGGTTGCTAGAGAAGCTGGGAACATCGATTTGGCCTGCGTGCACCCTCAGCAGCCCTGGTGAACTAGATGTAACAGAGCAGACCAGAGGAAGTGGTTTCTCTGTCTAAATACCTATGAAAGGACATAAGACCTTCGTCAGACTGCATGGGCCTCATTTTGTGGTATTCTTCTAGAGGTACTATATCAAACAGACAAAAGATAATAGTTCCTTATCAGATACACGCTACTTCTGCAAATGCCTTCTTAAGAAGGGCAGGACCATACTGCCTGGGATTTATTTGCACAGATCCACTGAGCTGAGCTCAGTAACCTATTTGGCATGATTTGCGCAGAAAGAATAATGGCAGCATTACTTAATATTTAACTAAGTACTAGACCCATTCAAATCATCAAATGTTGGCTTGTGCCCAGCGTCTCTGGGAAGCAGAAAAGTTTGGCATTTTTTCTAACGTAAAAAAGGAGATGCTGAAATATAGGCAAAATATTTTTTCCAGGTTCTGTGGACTGCTGGATCTGATGGCAATAGAGAAGAAAAGAGTGATCCTGAATCAAAAAACAACGCAAGTTGGACACAAAATGATTTAAATTAATAGATCTCCATGTGAGCAAAACAGGTGTGAGATGAAAATTAGACTTGAAAAATTCTGGGAAGTTGGAAATCTTGGCTCCCCATCCAAGCATGATATTTTTGCATGAAAAGCAAGTCCCAGCCGCCTTTCCACTCATGCAGCTTTTTCATTAAAGAAATGGAAGGGGCGGGAGGGAGCATGAATTAACTTGTGATATACAGCTGTTGATTTAGGGACTTAACTCCTAAAGTTGCCTGGGAAACAGTCCTGTAAAAGAAAGGCCTGATTTTCTGGCTTTTGTGAGTCTGGGGCAACCCGAACACATTCGGAGAAGTTACAGTAAGGTAGAGTGCTGTGACTCAGCCCTGCTCTTTTTCTAACCAGGACGCACAGGGCAGGTTTTTTATACTGAAAACTCATTATTTTTTTGCTCAGTTCAAAACCAAACTAAGCATCAGTCAGGATTTATTTATTTATTTATTTTAAACTGGTATCTGCAAGAGAGCCACATACCATGGAAAGAAACTTAGAGCAGCACAGGACAAATCTTTGTGATCTTGGTGATTTTTAGAGTGCTTGTGAGAAAACAGACATTATAATTAGAGATGGAGACAGCTCTGCACAAGCACACCCGCAAGTTCCTGGTTAACCTACTGCTCACTGTAACATGGAAGTAAAATCTGCTAAGCAGCTTTTAAAGATGAACTGCTAATTTCTAACAAAAGGACATTAGCACAAGCAAACTTGAATATGTTCTCTACATACTCTGTTCTCTATGACACTGGAGTTCCCTTTTTTTTTTTTCTTTTGGTTATATTTGCCCAGATTCGTACGTGCTGTTACCATGCTCTAGTAGTATCAGCAGTATCCAGTTTGTTTTTTAACTAACTTATCACGCCTTCACTAGACACCACCCTGCTGCTTTCTTTTTTTAGAGGAGCCCCTTTTGAATTATCTCTTCATAGACAGTTTTTTACTGACGTCTGATGTCTGCAGCACTTTGTTTATCATGGCAGGGGAAAAAAAAAAGCAGATTCATCACGGGATTTCCCTCGCTTTTGATAATGATACAGTAAATTAATTTGTACAGTCTTGTGACTGGAAAACAGTGAAATGCCCCAAACCAAAAGCTGCAATGTAAAACTCTCCAAAAACAGAAAAATTCAGTGAGCTTTGTAGATCTTCAGAATGCATTTCTTGGTTTAAAAATGGGAAAACTTTTGGTTGTGAGAAAGAATTTTGTTCTCCCAGCTGTTAAGCATCCTGTACAACTTATTTTAGAGTTGTTCTGGGGCTAAAACTGTACCTGTTAACGTGGGCTGGATATCTGCATATGTTTGCCTTGCAGTACAAAAGCAATTGCCGGGCCAGTGTCGAGACAAAGGGAAGTTGCTGTAACCTCCTTAGCTCTCTGAATCGCTGTTTGAATCATCTTACCCTTTAGAAAATACATCAAGTGTATCTAGGCATATAGGATGTGTTTTGGAAAAGCATTTAGACAAAGTAAAAAGCGCTGGAATGCATGCCATTAAACTTGAACGTTTTCCTTCAGAGCCTTGGGATACACACACCTTACTGTAGCATCCGGGCACCTGGTGTTTGTGGTAAGGTGTTTGTCTGAAGATGTCTCAGGGCTGTTCTCATTTACGGTTGCAATGGCTTTGAGGGCAGAGAAAATTCAAGGTTTTCCCCACGTGTATGATTTCAACTTGGGATATGCAGAAATAAAATATTTTTTTTAGTTAAGATTTGAGATGAACAGACAAAAGGCATGTTTTATTTCAGAAAAGTGTTCCAGAACATCTCTAGGGCCTTCTGCCATTCCTCGAAGCACAACCAACTAATACTTCAGACTCACATTACCAAAGCCTTGAAATAGAGGTTACATAAATTCAATTCTCTGTCTTGGATTTGGAGTATGATACAGCACAGAGCAGCTTCCCTCCATCTGTTTTGCATATAATGAAATGAAGGCTTTGATGTATTTTTTTCCTTTTTATCAGTCTATCACTTATTCAGTAGTTCGTGATAGAGAAAAACATATACACTCACTTAAAGACTAAAGCTACAGTGCTGGTAACAAATGCGAGATTACTTTGAGTGCTTATACACTCAGTCCTTTTATTTGAACAGATTTTTCTCCCAGGCAATGGACTTGAAGTAAAAAACTCCAACCAACTAGAATACTTTACTTGTCTTCCACATGGATTTATGCTTTGGGTTTTGATGCGTGAAGCTATATATTGCCTCCATACCCAAATGGGATGAAAGCCCCACTGTATTTACAACTGAAAGCACCATTGTATAAGGCACTAGCAAAACAGAAGGTGAAAGAGGCCATTTGCCGAGGAGCTTAAATTCTAATTCAGTGACTAATTGGTGTGGGGGGGAAGCCTCACTGCTCTGTCAGGTATGCCCCCAAGTTTTAGTTAATAACAGGCTTGGTTGAAGATGTGGTTGTGTGATATATTGGCAAATAGGGGTAGGTGTGTGATGAAAAATGACTGACGCACAGGCAAGCATGAGCCAAAAAAATGTTGAGAACCACTTGTCTGATGAAGTCAAGACGCGGTGAGTGGCTGTAACAAAAAGACAGGTGTAGGGCTGGTGTGTCCTTACTCAGTATGTGCTCTCTGAGCTCTGATGGAGAAGGCTTTGTTGTCCTCGTATAATAGACCAGAGCCAGGGGTGTTAGAGATGTATGAAAAAGTTCAGGCCAACGAGAATGTGATGTGGTCTCAGGAACAGGGGAAACAGCTTCAAGTATGTGAACACACACAGGTTTTCATGGGACTCAGCTAAACAAGAGGGTTTAGAGAACAGGCTTGGGTGAAAATGTGATACTGGTATCTTGTGGACTTGAGGTCTTCCTGCAAGATGGAAAACAAAAAGAAGGTGATTGAGAAAGCAGTGAATAAAGTGGTCATTTAAACCAGAATAATCGAGTAAGCAGAGGTGTGAAGAAGAATAGGCAAGGAGGCTGAAGGCAAGGATGGATATAACGGCCATGGTATATTGTAAGGAAGGGTATCCCTCCTGGGTAGCACTGTCCTGCCAACAGGGAGGTTAACACACAGACCTCTCCCAGGCCTCTCTCAGTACAAATTTGGCCTTGTATAGAAGTGGACCATCAGATAAGTGGCAGAGAAATGATTCAGCCCTACAAATGTGAGACAACAATAGCATGGATAAAAGACAAAAAAAGACAGGATCTGGAACTTGCGTAGAGGAAAACCCGTTGAAGTGTTGAAACTGGCCTGAATGTACGCACACATTCAGAAATAAAGGGTGAGGATTTCCTGGGCACACATCTGGGTGGCAGAGAGAAAGGTCATGTTGCTGGCAGCAACCAGAGGCGGAAGGGAGTGGGGACAACCTAGGAGGGAAGACACGATGTCACATAGTAGAAAAACACCCAGGAAGAAGCTTTGGAGAGAAGGTTTAGAGTTATTAAAGAATGTGAGGATTTGATTACAGAAACTTCTTTTGAAGATGAAATTATTAAGGGAGACAGCTCATATATCAAATAGTGCTAAACAATGAGCTCAGGGTGTTCTGGAAATTACTGTGGGGATGTCTGCAGTGCTTTATGGCAAATACTTGATCAAACTTTGAACAAAAGAACTATTCTCTGAAAACATATCAAGGGCACTGAGCATAATCAGCACAGAACCCTCCTGTTTGCCACAGTTTTCGCCAGTCATTAAGCTGCCTTTCTTCTTTCCAACCCTGTTTTTTTCTGTGTCTGCCTCGCTCAGATCGGCCGTTCTTCAGTGCGGTGCAGTTGTTCTGGTGCCCAAGCAGAAGCTCGTGTGTTGAGGAAAGGAGTTCCCTAGGCTGCTTCTTCTGCAATAAACATTCCAGTGAAAAGCATCTGCTACGGCCTGGAAGGGTTCCAGAGCAGAGACCCTGCAAAACACAGCCCAGCTGGTCCAAGAGATAATTGCTGCCAAAGGAGCGTAGCTGTCTGCAAGAAGTTGGGAACAGGATATGGCTTGGACTGCCGGTCCTTGTGCAGTTTGAAATGCGAATCAAAGTCGCTTGGCTGCTTTTGCCATGCTAATGAAATGATTTTGTTCAAAGAGTAGCGGTAATAAGATTATGCATCTAATGGCCGTGGAGATCCTGGCTTGTGTCCTGTGGCTGTGACTGCGTATTGGCCTGTAACGCGCCTTTCTGTTAAGCGCATTCTTACCCACTGAAGTACAGCCCATAGGTACCAAAGTCCTCAGGCCCAGGAATACTTTTTTTTCTCTAATATCTCTGCCTCTTTTCTTTACCTCACGGGCTCCATCGGTCGGTTTGCCCGTGCTGGACCTACGGCCCCACCTGCACGCTGGGGCACGAGGTGCTGGGTGCGATCCAGGGCAGGCAGGGTGACGGCAGGTGTGTGAGGCAGGTGTGTGACCGCACAGCGGGGGCACCGGCCTTCGGCCTCCCTCTTCACTGGGGTCAGCAGTGGGGTGGTGGATGGATGGCCAGCGCTGTCCTGGGTGGCATCGAAGCAGCGAGGCCAGCAGGGCAGGGAGGGGATTCTGCCCCTCTGCTCTGCTCTGCGAGGCCCCACCTGGAGCCCTGCGTCCAGCCCTGGGGCCCCCAGCACCAGGACAGGGACCTGTGGGAGTGGGCCCAGAGGAGGCCACGAGGCTGATCAGAGGGCTGGAGCACCTCTCCTCTGGGGACAGGCTGAGGGAGCTGGGGGTGTTCAGCCTGGAGAAGGGAAGGCTCCGGGGAGAGCTCAGTGTGTCAGTGCTGGAGGGGGCCCTATAGCACAGATGGAGGACTCCTGGTCAGGGGGTGCAGTGCTAAGACACGGGGGATGGTTTGAACCCCCAGCGGGGCGCTTTACCCCAGACTTTAGGGGTAATTCCCCCCTCAGGCCGGGGGGCGCTGCCCGCAGCCCGAGGCCGCCCCTCAGGGGAGCCCCGCCCCGCCCCGCCCCGCGCCCTCCCCCCCTGCTGGCCGCGGCTTCCGGCACAGGTGACCTCCCCCCCCCCCCCGCCCCGACGCCCCGCCCTCCCGCGGCCTCGCCCACGGGCGCGCTCTGATTGGCTCGGAGCACTGCTCGTCCGCCGGACCGCCCAATCACGCCCTCCGCTCCCTCCCCGGCGTCACGGGCGCGCGGACGCCGGGGTTTATAGCGGAGCTCGGGGGGCAACCGCTCAGCGGTGGGAGGAGGGCGGCCGGGGCTGGGGGCGGCTCAGCTGCGGGGCGCGGCTGCGGCGGTACGGGCAGGCCGCTGCCCCCTGCGGGTAAGGCGGCCGTTAACGGTCGGGGGGCTCCGTGAGGGGCGGGCCGGGGGCTGTGGGGTGCGCTCTGCTTTCGGGCAGCCCCGAGAGCAAGCGGGGGCCGGCGTGGCGGAGCTGCCCGCGGCTCCTTTGTGCGAGCGGCCGCTGTGTGCTGCCTGTGCCTCCTCACAGCGGCTCCCGCTGCGGCCCCAAGAGGAGCGGGTTTGTTCTCCCGGTTGGTCTGGGCGGTGAGGCGTTGGGGATGCAGCTTGCTGGGGGCTGTGCTTTGTTCAGTCTGTTGCTGTGAGCCCGGTGCCTGGTTCGGCGCTGCGTGGCTCAGTGCTGTGTCTGTGCCTGGCTGTAAGTCGATTTCTTCGCGTAGTGTGCAGCTGGTGGCTGTGAGTGGGGAAAGTGGGACGTGCAAGGGGTTTAAACTGAGATGCTCCTGGTGCTATGTAAAACTCGAGCCTCTTCTGTGTGAGGTCAGGCTTTATCTTGTATTTACCATCTGTCTGTTGTGTATCAGACAGCACCTGCTGATATTACGTAGGACTTTGGTAGCCCTTAGCTCCACAAAGCCTCTGAGCAGCCCCAGTTGTTGGAAGCTATTGCTGGGGAGCTGTTGCATGGCATCACACAAGGACACACGGTCTTTCCTTGCATGGTGAGGCATGCTGCCCTGGAGCTGGTCAGTTTGGGTGTTGGACCAGGTGATTTCCTGAGCCAGGGATGCCCCAGGGTGGTGGAGTGACCTCCTGGAAGCCCTTGCATGGGTTGTGAAAGCTGCCACTTGAAGAATATGCAGCTCTGGGGTGTGCTAATGACTGCAGATGTGCCCCAGGAAGGTGTGACACCCTGTGTATTTACTAGCACTTGCAGGGTCACTGTTGTCTGGATGGAGTGGTGGGCACCTGACTGAGAGTAAAGAGCTGCAGCTCCATCTGGGGTTTCTTCTACTTCCCAAGAGTTGCTGACACTTCTACCCAGACAGAGCTGCTGGAGGGAGAGGCTGCAGTGCCCAGCTCAGAGTGCAGGCAGCACCCAGACCTTTTCCTTTCGGTGGGGTGGGCAGCAAACCTGCCTGCAAAATGCCTCTGTGGGTAGAGGGCCTCCTGCAAGAGGTGGTGAGAAGGCTGTGATATCAGGAAAGCTGAGGAGGAGTTAAGTGGTTCCACTTGTCTGCAGCAAACTCACAGCCAAAAGCTTGCCTTCAAGCCCTTAGAGAAGGGAGTGAAACTGGAAAAAAAAAAAAGATGGAAGCTTCTTACAGCAAAGAGCAGCAGGAGGAAGAGACTTTCCCTGTTGCCTGAGGTGCCCTTGCAGAACCCCAGGACTGCAGAGAAGGAGCAGTCACTGTCAAGGGAGGTGCAGGTGTTGACTGAGCCAGCTTTGTCTGTTCACTCTATCTTGACCAGTCCAACCAAGAAACAGATGGGTGATAGTAGTAAGAGACTTTCTTCTCAGGGACCAGAGGTGCCTATTTGCTGGGCTGACCTACTTGCAAGAGGTTTACCTATGGGGCTTTTATTAGGGCTATTGCCAAGAAACTGCTGGGTCTTGTACATCCCGCAGATTGCTGTCCATTGTTACTTTAATGTGGGCACCAACAACGCTGTCAAGCAGTCCAAGGCATATCGTGGAGGACTTGAGAGCATCTCTCTCGAAGAGGCTCTGGAGCACAGGTGGCTCAGCCCACTGACTTAGTGGTTTGATGCCAGTGCAGCAATAGGATGCCCAGAGCCAGGGAAGGGCTCAGCCCAGCAGCAGAGTGCCTGAAGAGCAGCACAGGGGAATGTCAGCCATTTCATCAAATAAAAGTTTCATTAGGATCCAAGCTTAAGTGCTTCTACTTGAATGCATGTGCCAAGGAAAATCAGAGGAACTGGGAGTTTCAGTTCAGTCTCCAGGCTGTGGTATCACTGGCCTCAGTGAGATGCGGTGGGGTGGCTTGCCTGTCTGGAGATGGGTGGGATAGGTGGTTTGGGGCTCTTCAGGAGAGATGGGGAAGGAGAGGAGGAGGGGTAGCCCTTGTGTTAGGGAATGCCTTGGCTGCGTGGAGCTGAGGGCTGGTGATGAAAGGGTTGAGTCTCTGGATGGGAGTCAGGGAAAAGGCAGGCTGGTGGGAGAGAAGACCAGTATGCTGAGCAGAGCTTCTGGAACTGAACACAAAAAATTTTGTGTACCCTGGAAAAAGGGATGGGCAGCACAGGAGAACTGCAGAACTATTGTCAAGCTGCACAGGGTGAGAATTAGGCTGAAGCCCAGATGAAACTCAATTTGGCTAGTGCAGTAAAAGACAATTAAATGCTTTTATAAATCAACAATAAAAGGAGGATTAAGGAGAATCTCCTTTATTGTATGTGAGGGGAAATCTAGTGATGAAAGATAAGGCTGGGGTACTTAATGCATTTTTTTGCCTTGGTTTTTATTAGTAAGGCCAGTTGTTCCCAGGGTACCCAGCCTCCTCAGTTGGAGGACTGACAGGGAAAGAGGTGAGTAACAATCCCTACAATCCAATGGGGTGACCTACTACATCTTTGAATGTTTGTAAGTCTGGGGCTGGATGGAATTCATCCAAGGGTACTGAAGGAGCTGGTGGAGGTGCTTGCCTTGCCAAGCCTCTTTCAGTAATTTGTTAGCAGTCCTGGCTAACTGGGGAGGTCCAAGTTGACGGGAAATTAAGCAAATGTGACTCTGATCTGCAAGAAGAGTTAGAAAGGAGGATCCAGGGAATTACAGTGTGACCTCATTACCAGGGAAGGTTATGGAGCAGATCATCTCAAATGCCATTGCATGGCATGCATGGGACAATTGAGTGATCAAAAAGAGCCAGCATGTGTTTATAAAGGGCAGGTCCTGCCTGACTAACCTGATCTCCTTCTGTGACAAGATGACCTGCTTAGTAGGTGAGGGAAAGGCTGTGGGTGGTGTTTACCTGGGTTGTAGTAAAGCATTTGACATCACTTACTACAGTGCTCTGCTGGAGAAACTGGCTGCTTATGGCTTGGATGGGTGTCTAGGGTGAAGAAATCAAAGCCACAGTGAATGGAGTTCAAGCCAGTTGATGGCTGGTCACCAGGGGTGTTTTCTAGGCCTCTGTCTTGGAGTTGGTTTTGTTTAACACTTCCCTCAATGATCAGCATGAGGGGACCAAATCCACCTTCAGTAAGTTTGCAGACTGGACATTGGGAAGATCTTCAGAGAGGGTGGTCAGTCATGGGAACAGACTGCCCAGGGAAGTGGAGTTGCCACTTCTGGAGGTATTTAAGATGCATCTTTATGTGAGGGACATAGTTTAGTGATGGGACTCAATGGGGCCAGGCTGGTGGCTGGATTCTTTTGAAGGTCTCTTCTAACCCAGATTTTTCTGTCCTTGTGGATGTAGAGGAGAGCTTAAGATGCTGTTGGCATCTCTAGTTTGATGTTGGTTGTAATGAAATCAACTTACATGCTTTTTGAAAGTGTTTGGTAAAAATTAATGCTGATGTTGTAGTGAGTGCTTCCCAAAACCCAGGCTGTGTGGGTCTAACTCATACTACAGATGGGCCTGAATTTGAGCCATGTGGAATGTGACTGAAGCAGCTCCAAACAATTTATGAATATTACATAAATACTTAATTTCTGGGAATCCAGTCCTAAGTTAGGTCACAGTCCTTTACCCATTGAAGACAACCCTGAATTCCAGCTGTGTAGTCCTCTGAAATAGAGGAAGGTGCTGTTTGACCTCATGGATGTGTAGCTGTACTTATTGAAGATAAAATGTAAAATGCCAATTTTACCTATGGAAAAAGTAGAATCATAAATCCCAGCCTGTAAGAACAGAAGTGGAAAATGGGCTTTAAAGTCAGGCAGAGGGCTGGGACTCGTTGTTAAATGAGTTCTGGGCTCCATGAGATGAGGGCTCACTAGCTGTGCATCGCATCCTAGGGTTGTGTTGTGGCATTCGTGTGGAGGAATGGTTGAGGAGGTAGCCTGGAGAAAAATGAAGCAGAGATTAGCAGATGAGGAGTGCTGGGGAGAAAATTGGAGGAAACAAGTTATGTGGAACATAATTATAGTCAAATCTCATTTGAGAAAGCTAATAAGGTTCTGTGGTGGCTTTCTCCAATTGCTGAGACTCACAGATGGTGTCTGTGTGCCTGCATTCCCTTGGAGCTGGATGTGGGCCTGGGCAGCTCTTGAGCTTTGGCTCCGTGTCTTGCCTCTAATTTCATGAGTCACCATGGAGTGAGGTCTGCCTCTCTGATAGGGAGCCACTGCTGTTGAATGAGGCTCTATTTAAGCACTTGATGGAGATCTGTAGGCAGGAACACCTTGTGCAAATCTACCACTAATCAATTGGGTAAGTGGGCTTGTCCCAGCAAGCTGGGTGGAGGATGGTGCTTTTCCTTGCATGTGGGGGTGGAAAGGAATTCAAGTCCAGGAGACCTCACAGGTAAAAACATACTTAACAGACATTAGTCTTCAGTTGTTTTGATCCTGATAGTTGTCTGCTCTTTGCTGCCATATTAATATTTGTAATGCATTATCTGTGGGTTGTGTTTGTGTGTCCCATCTATGCCTAGATGCCTCACTGCTAGATGCCAGACCCATCTTCATCTGTGCCAAGCTGCACCTGCCATGGCTAAGTACAAGCTTGTTCTCCTAAGACATGGGGAAGGAGCCTGGAACAAGGAGAATCGCTTCTGCAGCTGGGTGGACCAGAAGCTGAGCAGTGATGGGATAAAGGAAGCTCAGAACTGTGGCAAACACCTTAAAGCCCTGGGCTTTGAGTTTGACCTTGTCTTCACCTCTGTACTCAGACGCTCCATCCAGACTGCATGGCTGATCCTGGAAGAGATGGGCCAGGAGTGGGTCCCCATTCAGAGCTCGTGGCGACTGAATGAGCGCCACTATGGTGCACTGATTGGTCTCAACAGAGCAGAGATGGCTCTGAATCATGGGGAAGAGCAAGTGAAAATCTGGAGGAGAAGCTATGATGTTACGCCACCTCCCATAACTGAATCTCATCCCTACTACGAAGAGATCTACAATGACCGCCGGTATAAATGCGGTGATGTCTCCCAGGATCATCTTCCAAAGGCTGAAAGTCTAAAAGATGTGCTTGATAGACTCCTTCCCTATTGGAATGAAAAGATAGTGCCAGAACTCAAAAGTGGCAAAATGATCCTTATATCTGCTCATGGCAACAGCAGCAGGGCACTGCTCAAGCACGTGGAAGGTAAGGGTCTTCTCTTAGCCTTCCTTCCCTTCTTCCCTACACACCTGTGTGGAGTTTTGCATTTTTCTCTATAGCATATTGCTCATCTGGACAGTGTAATGTTTAATGTCTGTGGTCTGCAAGGAGAGTGGAAAGCTGACCTACTGGAACAGAATTCAAACTGGGGGCTGAAGAGAGGTGAGGAAGAATCAGTTGGGTTAATGTAGTTGAAAAGCACTGCACTTCCCCTTCTTTTAGCTGCTCATTTTAAACAAGTGTATTCAGACTAACTTTGAGGTTAGTCTAGACAAACTCTTCAGACTGTCTTGCATTTATTCAGCTGTTTTGCCAGAAGGGTTGAAGTTATAATCTGTTTATTAAACAAGCATTGCTTTAACATGGTGAAATAAACCATCCTGGCTTGCAGGATGTGTTCTTGACTTTATTGTGGTACGTTCCTTTTTTTTTTTTTAAGGATTCAATCCTGGTGATTCTTAAAAGCTTCTGTGACAGGGAGTTCCGTAGGAAGTAGGTACTTGCTAAAGCTTATGAATGTACTGTAATATTTCCAGATATAGAAGATGCCTACCAGTCAACAGCTAAGCTAGTAGCTTAAGGTAAGGTTGATTATTTGAGACCTGGAAAGTGATTTATTTTCGCTGGATTCTTCCTTCTCTCCCACCTCTTTATAATGACATTGCTTCTAGTATAAGCAATCCTAAACTGGAAGGAAGTCTGTATTTCTTCATGGGCAGCGTAGAATTTAGTGATTACCACGTGTGTGAGAGCAGCCTGCTAGGGATGTAGCTGTAAATATGGGCAAACTGGATTTGTGCCCACTCAGTTTTCTCTAGCTGTAAATCCTGTGTACCCTCATAGCTCTGACTCTGTAAGGCATGTTTTGCATTCAGGCATGCTGGAACAGTCAGTGCAGCTGATGCTGTAGTGGGAGTCAAAAGCCCAGAGGATAAGCACACCCAGGTGGCTTCCAGAACTACGGAGCTAGTGAATTCTGGGGTACAGATCCCTCAGATGCAGGAGGAAGGCTGGTTCAGCTGGTTCCACTGATGTGGTCAGGATGGCTGTCAATATGTGAAATGATTTAAAACCAGAAGGGGTAAAGGGATAAGAGGACCCCCAGCGAGTGCCCCTGCCCTGCCCCTTAAGAACTGCAGCAGTGCAGGAAGCCATGCTGGCCAAGCTGTCTAGGTGTGAGATGCTGCTTTCTGCAGAAACCCCAGGCAGCTGTTCATGCAGTTATGCACCAAAACTAGAGAGGACAGCATCAGCAACTGGTAAAGGTTACTTTAAAGTGTGGCTGGACTCCTTTTTGCATTGAGAGCAGTAAGTCAGAGCCAGCTGCAGAGCTTTTCTGTGAGGCATGTGGAATTAGGTACAATTCCTCAAGAGCTGCCCACATTACAACTGTAAATGAAAAAAACAACCAAACAAAGCAGAAATTCTTTTCTGTATTGGACCATACCTCATCCTTCCCAGTGCATGCCTGCATAGTTAAATGTGAGGAATCCTTGACAGAGGATCTAGTTCTTGTCACCAAGGACTGTCCATCAGCTACCACGTGCACAATTGCAGGAGATGTGCTGGCTTTTCTCTGCCCTAAGCAGTGGGGATGCTGCAGAGCTGTCCTGAAGGGTGGTGTGAACAGACCTCTAAGACCTGATATTGCCACCTGCATTTTTTGCTTATCTCCAACCTATATCTAGTTAGATAAGAGGTGCCTTGTCTGTTTTCATGACTTTCTCTTTTTCTCCTGAAAGGCTGTGAGCTGCTCTGGAGCCTTGCTGGAGCTGGACCTCATCCAACAGTGTTTAAAGCTTGTTAGTCTGCTGCACTTGTAGCACTCACTGTGGAGTGGGCTTTATTTTGTGGGGGCTTTCTATAACAAACTGCCCTATGCTTGCAGGAAGTGTCTAGGCTCCTCTGTCTTCACTGGAGCTGTGTTTTTTGAGACACTGAGAAAATGGGCTTCAAATTTTTCAAGCAGCAGTCATAAGTGACTGCTTGGGTATCTTAGTAACAAGTTAATTGTGGAAGCTGTAGCTCAAGTTTTAAATGGCAATAAATATTTTCACTCAACTTGAGTTGATGAAATAATTCCAGTTGTTCTGAGGTGAAACTTAATGTTTTTTCTCAAAAATTTTGCAAGTTATCCTTGAAGTTCCCATTTCAAAGTATTTTTTTCAAAACAGGCATGCAGTCTTCTGAACGAGAATGTTTTTGTTGTTAATCGAAAAAGCGGCTGTTTTCCACTCGCACACAAAAATCATCAGAGCAGCAGAATGTCAGGCGAACAAGCCTTTGATTGTAGGTTTGGACTTTGTTTGTTTTCTCAGTGCTCAGGGTAGACCTCAATAGGGTAAGTGAGATGTCTGCGGGATCTGTCACAGTTTCCATGTGAGAAGATTTAAAAGTAAAACTGCTGTAGTCTTGCTGAAAACAGTGTTTAACAAAATAAAACAACTGAATGGTCATGTTGTATGCACTCAGATCAGAAACAGCAGTTGCTTAGAGCTTGCTCTCTGGTCCCTGTGGGCTGAGTGACCTCTCCCAGAGGGTGCTGGTGGCCTCTGAGGATGCTGGGCAGTGGTCCTTGTAGGTAAAAGCCCCCTGAATTTAATAAATGCCACTGAGGAGACAGATGCATGGCTGTTTCATGTCACAAAGATACAGCGTTGGTGGCAGATCCCAGTCATAGTATCCAGGCTTATCTAGTCCTTTCAGAATACTAATCTTTGCATCATCTTCAGGTGATCTGTGATGATGCTGGTAATCACTGCCAATTAAGCTGGCAAAGGAGTGGCATCATCCCACTCTCTGGCTGTGCTCCTGTTTTTCTTGTGAGCTTGTTGGGTATTTTTGAGTTAGCTTTGTCTCTAAACTGGCAAAACCAGCAAGGAGTAGGTAGCTTTCTGCCCTCTTGGTGGCTTGAGTCCCCTCAGGGAAGAGGGTGGCAAGTGCCTGCGGGTAGTGCAGGAAGGTTGGAACAGCCTGACCCAGATCTGGAGCTGCGAGGGCATGGCTTTGGAGACCAGCTATTTGTGACTTCCAAAGCTGGAGCGTGAGGAGGACCTGTGGAGTCGCATCATCTTGAGCAGACTGGTTTGGGGCACGTTTGTGAGAAGGCGGTGATCTTTTCTACAGACTCAGGCTAATAGAGAGAGTTCATCGTAGTGCCCTACCAGGCAGAAAGGCAGTGATATTAGCATATCAGGCCTCTTGCTTGAGGTACTCTGAACAGTGCTTCAGCCAGAGATGGGATCGTTTGCCAAAGCCCTGTCAAGAACAAGGTGTATGCTGGCAGGCTCCGGACTTGCATGCTCAGAATTGTTGGTCACAGTGTTGCTGTGAGTTCCTGGCTGTGGTAGTGTGGCCTGGGTCACTTCTGAAGGACTGTGGGCCTCTTTCACCCTAATGGCATAGCTGGCAGCTAATCAGATCTAATCTGTGACTGCTGGGGAGTTTAAGGCAGGCTGTGACTCCTCTACTGCATGATAATACTGTAGATCATGGCTTTTCTTACACTGTCTCATGGGACTGGTCTCAGTAATGACACCTGTCAAATTCAGGCCATGATCAGGATCTCATTTCCTAATGACAGGAGAAAAGCTTGGCAGGTGTAAGGGTGAAACATGTTGATAATATGCTGCAGCCATGGTGGTAGCCCATTGTTCCCCAAGTCTGCACAGTGAGATTAGATCCAGTAAAGGTGAAGAGCCAGATTATAACGCAGCCTACTTCTGCTACTTCACTGAAGCTAGGTCCTCTGTCAGCCTGCATGCAGCTGGCACTCCTTTAAGAAGGGTAGCATCAGGTCCTGGGTATTTAACTTAGACTAAAGCCACAATATTTTCATTAAGATTGTGGGGAGGATGCAAGGACCTGATCTGAATCTTGAATACAAAGCAGTTCTAGAGGTTACTGCTAGCCAAGGGCACGTTGCTGGCTCATGTCCAGTTGGTGCCTCCCGGGACCCCCAGGCCCTTTTCTGCCAAGCTGCTTTCCAGCTGGGCAGTCCCCAGCACGTCCTGATGCATGGGGCTGTTCCTCCCCAGGGGCAGGGCTCTGGGCTTCTCCTCGTGGGACTCCATGAGCTTCTGTCAGCCCACTTCTCCAGCCCAGGTTCCTCTGGGTGGCAGCAAGGCCTTCTGGTGTATCAGCTGCTCCTTCAGGTTTTGTCATCTGGTGGTACATGTTTTGCCCCATCATCTAGGCTATTACTGATGTTGAACAGGCCTGGACCCATCCCAGGGGTACACCATTAGTTACTGGTCATAAATTAGTCTTTAAAGTACTGGTCTTCACCCTCAGAGCTCAGCCATTCAGCCAGTCAAGGTCTTTGACCAGCTCTTCAAACTATATTGGCTTTTTTTGTTGCTCTGACCATAAGAATGGGAGGAAGATGTGGGAAGAATATGGGAGAGGGAGGGAGAAGCTGAACCATCTCTTGTAGGATTTGGCTGTAGGTGCTGAAAACTAAGCCCCACGGGGTTTGTCTCTGCAGGACTTGCCAGGGTGCCAGTACTTCAGAGCTACCAGATAAAAGTGAACTTTTAAGCTTGAGATTTGTGGAGAAATGTACTTTGTAGTAGACCTGTGAAGATAATACTGAAGGACTGTCTACCAGTCAAAGTCCCCCCCCTGTGTATTTCACACCTTGAAGAGAAGTAGCAGCCTGTTTGATCATCCAGATCAGTTAAATGAAGTTTAAGTGAGATGGAATAGTTCTAAATGTGACTCTGAAAAATCTTTAAGTGCTGTAGCAAATTCTTATCGTCCTGTACCTAATTGCTTCCTGCTGTACAGCTAATAAAGAACCGATGCTTCAGAGGTGCTCAAAAGAACATGGAGAAAGCCCACTTGAAGAAGGTGGCTGACCAGTCAGCATTTTATCTGGCCTCCTAAAGAAGGCTCTGAGTACTTTGGTAATGTCTGTATTCTCATGATTACTTTCTTAGGGATGATTAAACCTCTCTAGGGGAAAATCTGCTTCCAGCAGCACAGACTCAGCCCTGCTGAAGAATACTTAAGCATCAGTATTACATTAGAGGGAAGAGTGTTGCTGCTTCAATGGTCTCATTTCCTGTGGCACCTCATAGTCAGCAGTTGAGTTCTTGTCCTCACTTCACTCTCCTTCATGTATGAGATTGGATGCAGTTGTAACACAGGCCAGGTCAAATGAAATGCAGGAAAAGGTCACTGTGCTATAGTTAAAGCACATGAAGTAACCAGATAGCAGTTTAGCTTGCTCTTGGAAGGGCCTGAGTGTAAGATGTGATCTCTTACTGTCTTCCTAGCCTGCTGGGGGTGTCCTCCAGGCATTTTGCTTGCAGACTGAGGGGCTTGTGTCAAGCCTGATCAATATCTCTCTGGCTGGAGAAAAGTGCTATACAAATAGAGTAACAATGCTGAAATAAAGCAGCAGGACACTATTGGCTCTTTAGGATTTTCATGTCTCAACCCAAAACTCCAGCCTTCTGCCTGTGAGGCAATGCTTCCACAGGAGGAAAAATCCCAGTGAGAAAGCCAACATTCTTGCCACAGCTTGTTTATCCCAGGCTGTACTTCTTATTTGTACATCCATACTGGTTGTCTCTGGTGTGGTCGCTGTGTTTGCCACAAAGGTAAAATGCATTTCTGAGTCTGTGTAGCAACAGCCACTTTTATTTAATCCAGATTTAGAGGAAACCTTTAAATATCCAGGCAGCTGACTGCATTGTGGTTTGCCTAAATTCTCCTGTATGACTTCATCTGCTTTGTTTAAATCTGGATGGTTTAGTCTGGGAGGCTGAATGAGAGGTGGGCAGAACGCTTCCTAGGGCCAGATTTTTGGTGGATAGGTGGTGATGTGTATGTTGTTAAAATCCGTGTTTAAGAACCATGAAAATAAGATCTCGGACAACTTGGCTGCTTGTTTTGCAAACCAAAGTCCTTGAGGAAAATGTTTGTGCCTAGTAAATGAACTTTCCCATTGTGCGTGGTTACAAAACTGTAGATGCTCCTTGGTGCTGTGATGTAGGTCTGGGATCCTACTCCCTATAACACATGAATTTACCCTTGTATACAGGGATCTATTCAACTGGCTGAGTATGTGACTTTCTTGATGAACTGATGGTTCAATACAAAACAAGGAGCTTCTTGCAAGGGTTTATCTGTTTCTTGCCCCATTTCCTTCTGAAACAGCTGATCTACAGCTAAACCAAGTGCTTGGTCTAACCAAAACAAGAACAGGTCACTGCAAAAACTTTGTGTTTGTGTAGTCTCAGGGTGGTGGCATAAAATGATTGTCACCTCCTGATTACTTGTTTTTTCTGACCTGCTGTCATACCACTGTTGCTGAGTGGCTAGACTTTGTTTTTCTCAATGTGTTGGCTCTGCTCTTTCACTTAATGTGAAGAGTACTGGTAAATTTGCACCCATGTGTTCCGAGAGCCACCTGTTTTGTCAGCTGCTCAAGAGAATGTTTTCTTGTCCTGTAGTTTATATGGAGTCATTGTTTTTAGAAGCTTGTGTGATTTTTTTTTTTTTTTGTAAGCATGAATTACTTGAAGGTGTCCTACTTCTCAACAGCAGACAGGCTGAGACCTCAAGTGCTTCTTAAAGCAGAGATGGAAGGGGAAATGCTGACATTCCTCCAATTCTGGACAGAAGAAAGTTGACGTTATCAGGAGTAATGTCTCCAGTCATTGCTCTTTAATGCAAACATTTAAACTCATTAAAATTTTTTACTAGAGGTTTGGTCTCAATTCACTTGATACTTTAGACTAGCATGCTTGATGTCAACATACTCAGTGGTTTCATTGAGACTGGAGCCCCAGAATACTTAAAATGCATGAAATTTTCTCTATAGGTATACCTTATTTTTAGTTATCCTACACTTGTTTCACTAAGTTGTATAACTTGACTTCCTTCTCTTCCTCTTTCCTTCCTTTGAAAGTGGAAATGGGTATCCTGATCTAGTAACTCTGGGAATAGTACTGTAGGCAAAAAGCCATAAGTGTGCTTTTGGGAAATCAGATGTAAGCGGTGATCCCTACACTGGGAGACTTAAATACTGATTTAAGATGACTGATTTAAGATACTTTCTCTTAAATTCTCTTTCCAGCAGCTTCTCATGCAAATTATCTGTATCCTGTGTCTTCAAAGATAGTTGTATTGGTTACTTATCAGAGGGCTTTATGTTGGGATGACATGTAGGCTGTGATCTGTCCAATTGTGGTATGTGAATTATGAAGATGTAGAGGAGAGCCTATGGCCCCAGTGCCCTATATTAAAGGGCAATCTCTTCCTGTTCAGTTCACATGTAGATGAGAAAATGAGGCAGTTGTCTTCAGCTTGTCAGAAATTCCCTTCTGTAGCTCTTCTTAAAATGCTAACCAAGCTGGGGTCTAGCTGAAAATGGACCCTTCAGTAGCTGCCGGTGCTGCTGGAGGCTGGAAACAGTTCTTGATTGTTTTAAGACAGGTTAATCTCAGAAATAAGGCTGAGTACATGCAGTTTGGAAGCTGTTCACTAGCTGTAACTGTTTTTTTTTTTTCTCTTTGGCAGGCATCTCTGATGAGGACATCATCAATGTTACGCTCCCCACTGGTGTGCCCATACTTCTTGAACTTGATGAGAATCTGCGCCCTCTGGGCCCTCACCAGTTTCTTGGTGATCAGGAAGCTATTCAAGCTGCCATCAAAAAAGTGGAAGATCAAGGGAAAGTAAAATCTACTGAGAAATAAAATCCTACTGATTAACACAATTATTTTTAAAATGTGTGTTAGTAAGTGATAACTTCCATATGACTGCTAGGTTGCACTGTGTGAAAGTCTCAATTTCAAGCACTAAGTAATTGGAAGGGACAATTGAGTCTCAGGTTGACAGATAAACCCTCTGCCTTTCAGAAACTGGAATTGAAATCTCAGCATGAGGTTATGGATACTGAAAAATGAAATCAAGAGAGCATTTGGGTAATGGAAACTTGTGGGGCAGTCTGCCCTAGAACTGGAATTGAGGAAGTCCCAGGACAGAAAAAAGGGATATGCTATTGCCATCTACTAATAACTAGAGCTGATCTGTTAAGTGCTGTACAGCACCAGCTTACTGGACTAATTAAGTCCAGGTTGTTATAGGCACTAACACTTTTTCACTGACAGTGGTGTCAAGTAACAGTAACCCAGTATGATTCTTTGTCAATGGCCATGGCAGTCTTTCACAACACTTTAAACTGTATAACTCTTCCTCCTTTTCTTTGGAGGTCTCCCAAGGCCAGTTCATGATCCAGAGGTGAATTTTGTAGTGGTGTTTGGACTGTTATAGCTACCACAGTTGTCTTACTCTACACTATGCTTCAATTTTTTAGGAATTAAGAATATCCCTCTTTCACCATCTTTATGGAGTCTAGCATGACTGCATTTTCCTGGTTGCAGTAATGAGATGTAACTTGGACTAACCACAGACTAAGCACAAATTTTCCTGCTCAATGTTTAAATGATAATTTAGTCCTTTAGGAGGAACCTGAACAGCTTTGAAACACAAATAACATGTACTAGGGACTTGATCAGTTGTTAAAATCATTCATGTTTACCTCAGTGAAACTTCATGTATGAAACCCCTCTCCAAACTTTCCTGAACTGCAAGGAACAGAGAAATCTGTCCCATAGTGATACAGCTATAATATTGTTTGTACTGATTTCTCTGGAGGGCAAGGAAGTGATGGGTAAGATGTGAAAGGTGTGTTACTGTGTGCAGCTCATACAGCTGTCAAGCTTATCAGGGAAGGTTATGCTGCAGTGCTTGGAAGTAATTTCTTATAAAGCTTTCCTCACGGTCATAGCTGGATTCCTGCAGTGACCTTGCTTCTCTGCTTGGCGCTAGGCGTGAGCAGTTTGCTGTTGCTGGGTGTAATACAGTGTTCAGGCTGGGTAGTTCTGGTTTCACTTGCAACTGTGAAAATATTGTTACTTATATTTAGGTCTGACTCAATGTCTCAAAATTTGAGGATCTAAGTTCTGTTCCCAGTTACCAGCATGGGTGGCAGTTGTATATGCAGTATGAGCTGAATGTGTTCTCAGCATGGCCCAGCTACAAATCCAAGAAGCTGATGAGAATTGCTTTGATATGATGGTATAAACACTTTAGAAATCCTAGAGGAGCTCCTTTGTAGTGAGCAGTTCTGTTAGCTTGCTTTGGAAGTGTGAAGATGTCTTTTCCTTTGAGGAGAGCCGTGTGATGGTGTTGTGCTTTTAACAATCTCCCTGCTGTGTGGAGGGAGCCTTCCCAGGTCAGATACCAGCTCACCTTAGTGTAGTGTGTATGTCATGAAAGACTTACAGGCTAGATTGTAGTTTCTTACCTGAATAATGCTTGGGCTTCACTTGGTTTATTTTGCAGCCCTTGCAATAGGAACAAGTTCCTTGTTTTTTCTTAAACATAAAGATAGTAATAAACTTAAAGCTGGTAGGTTGCCTCTCTTTTTGTACAAATCAGGATATTCATTTTTTTCTCTGAAAACCTGTTAGCAGCTTCCCTGCTCCTAGATTTGTGACACTGGTTGACTTCTTTCTGGGTTTTTAGCTTTTGGTGCGTAGTTACTGATCTTGATTAATACTTTGAGTCAGTGTTGTAGAGCTGCATTGTTGATCAGAAAACATTTACCTGTCAATGCCATGTGGGAGGACCACTAGCACTGAAGTGATGTTTCTCCAAACGTTCAATAATGTATGAAGACTTTTTACCAAGTAAAAATCGCTGTAGAATCATTAACAAGGCAAATCTAGCCACATGTCAGCAGTGGGAACTGCATGCATCAGGATGTGAGCTTACTGAGTGTGGCTGTGAGTGCCTGTATCCTCATGGCATTGTAGTATTGTAATGTAGGACTTCTTGAGGGCTTGAAAATAGCTGGGACTACATGAATAAGAAGGTGGATCATTGTGAAGGGCATTCATATCTTTCTGCAGCTGGCTGGCTGGAGTTTGAAAGCAGCCTTTCCAGATCCATGGATGGTAAGAAAACAGTGATGTTTCCAGGTAGCACTGTTTCTGCAGTGCTTCTCAGGACAGGAATAGTGATAGTGCCCTAGGAGGCTGGACTTCATCTGCTTTGGTTGTGATGACAGGATTTTATGTGCACATTTGGCAGCAATACCACATCACAAAAGTATCAGGTGGAACCAACTGGGGATTTCATTGTGCTCTAAGATTATTTTAACACCTTGCAGTACTTGTTTCTAAATAGTCTTGTAATTAAACTTGGTTCATAAAACGTGTATATTGAAAAGAAACCAGCTTTCAACAGTTGCATCAGGAAGGATGCCTGCTCCTCAGGCATAGCTACATTAGAAGAACTGAGAATCTTGCTGCTGCTGGCTTTATAAATCAGTGGTTGGAAAACATTTTTATGCATGTTTGAGTACACCTCAAAGTCCTGTAAAGGTAACCAGTGTCACTACAATGGAAGTTATGGATGTGGTTGATTTGGATTTACTTCTGTATTTTTTAACTTGTGGATCAATAGAAGTAATAGCTCTAGAGTAACTTTTGAAAACCTTTTGTAAATATGGTAGAGCTGAGAGGTTCTTTATAACTCAATAAATTCACCTGAAATAGAATTTAACTTGGCTTCAGTGTGTCTGTCTTCTAATGCCTTCCACTTTGCCTCCTTTCTAGGGTGGATAGGTAAATAAAGCTGTGACCTTCAGGGGCCTGGAGCTCAAATCAAGCAGTACTTGATCACGTATCATGTGGTCAGTTGGATAAAAATAGTTGAAGCAAACACTGCCTCATCTTTGTGTGTGAAGAAGTCTGGCTGGAAGGGAACACATACCTATTTGAAACTATGGGGACACTTGCATAGGAATAGCAAGTTAAACATAATTACTTCCAGAACACTGGAGCTGAACAAATGTGCACTGTCCATGTTTGCTTTTTATAAAAGCACTATTTGATGGTGTGCTCAAAATCGTAGCTTCTGGACATGAAGCCAACTCCTTGACTCTCCAAAAGACTAATGTCAAGCACAGTTCTGACTCCAACAAGAAGTGCAGGGGACTGCTGGGCTGCTTTGATCTGCTGTTGATCTTCATGCAGAAGGCCTTATGTATTGTGCCTGGGAGGCAGTAAAGGCCTTACAGGTGGAACATTCAGGTAGAAATGGGAAGATACAACTGTGGCTTAAAGCAGAAGTATACTGAAGAAAATGACCTCTCAAAAGCTAGTCTTAAAAATCTAGTCTTATCTAGTCTTAGTATGGTATTAAGAGTGGGGAACAGAGCAAACCTGTCAGAGCTATTTGCATACTGCTGTTTAATGCTTCTGAGGTGGTGTGGAAGTGCTGCCAACTGATTGAATGTCTATGGATGTTAAGATATATCCCCCACATCCTTTGCTCTCTGTGCCAATCACCTTTTGTACTTTGCTCTTAGTTAAGCTCTGCCTTGTTTATACCTCACACCTCAAACTCTTCCTGAGTTATGCCCTGCTTTTCCTGTGTTGGGAAAAGATCATCTAAAGACGGGCTTGGCTGAGTCCTCCTTGCCTTCTTATTCAAAGTTACTGTGAAAGAGTTGCTGTGGCCAACCTGGACTCTGCAGGGTGAGGAGACAGAATGTTCAGTCACGTTTTCAAAATTTACACAGCTTTTTTTAGTCTCTGGCGTTGATGAGAACTGAGTGCCAAACCAATCCAGTTCTGCCTCCCCAAGTTTGCTGTCATTTTGTTTCAGAGCTGCCAGCTTGCAAAGTTCACAATAAATGGCACTTGGAAATTGCTTTGTCTGTCTTATGTTGGCCACAAACTTTCCTCTGCCTTAAATTCCCAGCAGCAGCAACAACAAAAAAGTATGGTGTCAACAGTGGTGCTGCTCAAAGCTCTGAGCTATGCTAGGAAACAAACCTCAGGGATTCAAATGTGGACTGCGGAGGCTTAGGGAGAAGTAAGCCTTTCCCTTGAGAGCTGTGTAAAATGAATTGAATGGATTGCTGCCTTCTCCTTCTGTTATAGTGGCCAAAGGTTCTAGGGATGAATACAAAAGGGAATGTGACATTAATGTTGTATGGCAGAATTTCAGTCTCCTTTTGGCAGGCTGGCTATGACAGGAGTGTAAGAACTTCTGCCTCCTACTGCTGTACTTAGCTCCCAGGCCTTCTCAGGGCTGTTCAGCAGAATTTAGCAGTCCTGTTGTGTCCACCCCTCAGAAGGAAGCAGGGAGGAGGAAGAGGCTCTATTCTTGCTCTTCAATTTAAGCTGACAGAGGAGGGAAGGGCAGCAGATGCCAGACCGTAGATACTGCTGTGCTGTAAAGCTGAGCTTGTAATAACGTGGCCTGAAGATCACGTCTGCTTGCTGGTTTTGAAAGGAGGTATTGACCACAACTCTCATGGCAATGTTGGTGCAGCAATTGTCAGGCTCCAGGGGAAGTGGCTGTGGGGACCTCTGGCACTGGAGATGCTGTCTGCCATAATATCACTTTGTTTCTTTTTTCCTTCCAGCTCACTCAGCATTGTACTGTCAGATTTTCTTCACTTTTTGCCTGGCACTTGCATGAAAGGAAAGTACTAGTATGTATTAACTAGATGAGAAGACTCTCTTGTAGAGAAAGTCCAAGCCCAGAGGCAGCAAATGCTGAAGTGCAACCTTCCCTGTCAGTCATTTCTTGTTGTTAGGAACAAGCAGCACACTATGAATATTGCAGGGGGCCCTGATGCTGCTAAAGCTGTGAAGTGGAAGCGTCCCTGTTCATGCTTCTAACCTAGCAGAAGCAGTAGTGCTGGAAAGGAAGATCGTGTCTTTGCCGTTAATCTCATCCTCTAAACTGGGGGTGCTTTGAGGAGTTGCCTCATAAAGTCATGTTTTCTGACAGATGCCCAGTCAGACTCCTGGTCATCGTGTGCTCATGCAGTGCTGTAGCTAAAGCTGAGCCAGTTCTCCATAGAGCTCACATCCGCGACTGCCTGGCTGTTCCTAACTGCAGGCTGAGCTTTCTGGGATCTGTATGGGAGGCAGTGGTACTGGCTAAGCTAGGAGTGAGTAAGCAGGTGTCAAGATCCGTAACTATCCCTAAAGACGAAGTAATTTGCTCTTCCACCGATTACAACCCTAGATGCATGTGCAGAAATGCAAACGGACAACAGGTGGAGCAAGTGCATTGTGGTAAGTGCATGGGGGAAAGCAGCAGCAATTCTGCACTAATTCTACGTGCTTGGGAGAGCCAAGGGGAGATTCAGCCCCTCTTGAAAGGCAGCATGTTCCAGCTGTGCCAGCACCACATAGTCTAACAAATGGCGCAAAGGTGGCTTAGTTCTGGTGTGCAATTAATTGCAATCATCTAGGCTGCTTGTACAAATTGATGATTAGCCCTACTTTGTTCTTGCATCAGCAGCTTCAGTGGACTAGATAAATTCAACAAGAGCAAGGTGGGTATTTGCAGGCATGTAACACACCACTCCCGCACCTTTCTCCTCCAAAAAAACACACAACAAACCACATGATCTTAGTGATAGTAATATCATAATATTAATATATTTGGTATTAATGTATTAATATACTAATATATTAATATCTTTGCATGCCTCAGGAAAGGTGAGGGGAAGTCACTGTTGCATGAGAAAGGAAGCTCAGCAATGAGCAGGTGCCAAATACTTTAAAAATAAAAATTGGAGGATGCAGTATATGTCATGGATTTGATTTCAGACATTCTTGTCCTCATTTTCCAAAGGGCCATGTTGACAGATGTGACAAACCTAGGCCGAATGAGTCTGTAGGTGTAGCCTTAACTGGTCTCGTTTTCTGAGGTGAAAGCCTTAGGAGATGTACTGACATGAAAGGTACTGTCTTTCAGTACTGGGATCCTTGTGTTCTGTGCTTCCTCTTCTGTGTGGTTGGCTCAAGTGATTTCCGCAGCTAGCAGCTAGGCATACCTTCCGTAAAGCTGTAAATCCTTCACACACACTGTTGATAAGAGGTTGCTGAGAAGACCTGAGTGATAATTTCAACGCCTCTTCTCAGTATTGGAGATAATTACGGTACCTGTGCAGGGTGATTTTAGTAATATAAGGTGACACATTCCTCTCTGTTAAGAGATGCACAGTTTCTCTTATTTACAGGTAAGTTTTGTTTGTCTTGAGTCCATGCTACATGCCATAATTTTAATTCTCCCTGATGCCAGACTGGGTTTGACCTCAACCTAGTCAGAGGTTGGCTTATACAGTACATGAACAATGTTTTAAGATTAAGTAGCATGTGTTGGCAATACCAGAGGCAAACATACAAATCATGATTACAAATATGCGTGGTTATTTTTATACATATGTAAATAAGTGGGTAAACTGCATTTGATTTTTCTTTTTTTTTCACTAAACTTTCTAAAAACATATATAACTTGTATATTATTGGTGGTATGTTCTCTTCATGTTGGTTTTATGTTAGTGTACATCTGAATATCCTCTTCTAAAGTCCTCTATATAAAGTAGAAAGTGAGAGCGCATCAGCACTTATAAATAATCCTGGGTTGTTTTGCTGAATTTTGGGTATTTGCCTATAAAATGCAAACATTTTGGTGGCAAAGTTCGTATTTTTAGTTGAAAAAGGTACAAATACATTTTACATTTGAATTTGGAAGAGGTTCTGTTTAGACCTTAGAACTGAAATTTCAGGTATATCAAGTACCCTCGGTGTTTTTTATTTCCCCAAGTGCATGAGAAGGCAGGATTGTGAGGGTTTGATTCATTAAGAAAGATGATGAAAAATAACATTGAGGCTTCCTTTTGTGAATTAACTAGGATGTGATTTGTTAGTGTGATTTGTCTGAAGCACAGGAATCCTGCATTTTGGTTTTTCTTAAATTAGGAACTCAGTAAGACATGGCTTTAAGCATAACAAGTGAAATTAAGTTATATGAGCAAATTATTATTCATTAGGAGGCTATGCTAGGGGTTTGGTATTTCACTGAAAGTTGGAAGTTATGGATTCAGTTTTGCCTTAAGTACCTCATTACAGGCAAGTCACTGATTTCTTTCACCTGTGAAAATGGGGAGATGAGACTTTTGCTGCCACATGTGGCTGTGCTGCTTTCATTTGGAGTTGAGGGGCTGCAGTATATGTATGAAAAGAAGGCTTGTTTGGTAGGATGTGGAAGTTCTAGCTTGGGGTTTGCTTCAACAATTTGGCTCTTGTTTCGGTGCCTGAATATGGGTGGAACTCTTCTGAAAAAATGTCTACAGTTTTAAGAGCACTTGCCTACAAGCATTTAGTAATATTGATGTTCAGCTTTTTCTTATTTCTTCAATAAGTGCCTGAGAACCTGACAGTTTGGGCTGAAGTCTCCCATCATTTCCAGGACTAAATACCTTTTTGACAGTTCATAGTAATGTTGGTAAATTCAAACCTTCTTTATATTTAGTATAATACAAATGTGTTTCAGACATGCCTGAACCTACAACACGAGCAGGGTTCTCTCTGATGGGAGTATTGTTGCCCTGCTTCTGACTTTCAGTTCTCCTCGCAGGTGCAATTGCAGTGGGTATTGCTGGCATAGGAGAAATCTCAGCAGTTCCCTCCCTCTGCTGCAGAGGACAGCCTTGCCATTGTGTTGAGCTGGCAATTTAAGGTGAGCAGGCA